TAAGGTTAGAAAATCACATTTTTGCAAAGGTTAATTGGTACTTTATAAAGGAGCTACTTTGACTTAGGAAACAAATGATAAAATATTAGGAATCTTTTAGCTCCCTCTGCTGCCCTAATCCCTCACTAAGCCACCTTCTGAGGTCTGTCAGACACCAAGAAATGAGGCAGCCCATTAATCCCTTTTTAAGAAACATTTGGCATATTAAGTATGCCCAGTACAAATACCAGTACACAGGAAGAGAACTCTATAAAGCCCTATTTGATTTACCATTGCCTGTGCATTTTATTATTTCCTTTCTTTCTCCAGTATCTGTAGCAAGTGAGACAATGAAGAACACGTTTAAATTTGCATGTTAAGAAAACTGTAGCTCTTGTTCTCCAAAGAACTTGACATCTGCAATTTCCACTTACAGAAAGAGCAAAGGGCACTCACTGCCTGGAAACATTTATCCCTCCTTCCTCTTATTTATAGATCAACTTTCATGGTACAGACCAACTTCAGTAAAAAATCCTTTTAGAAATTCAGGGAAAGCCCAGACCTTGCCAAAGTAAGTAATCTTCTTACTCATATAAGAAAACTCAACTGCCCCTGCCAGGGGTCAAATCCCAGTTTACATAAACTAGACAGGATCCATCAATGGTCATGAAGAAACACTTGGTATTTGTCAGCCTGGTACTTCCCACTAGGTAAAAAGCCAAGCTATTACACACACAAGCAAAAGAAATCAGGAAAGTGAATATATTTTTCTTTTAATTAAGTCACTCTTTATTACAAGATTTCTCTATCAATTTGGAAAGACAACCAAATTCAATTCATATCTGTTTTTTTTTTTTTCCCTCTGCATTCCTCCTGGAACCATCAACGTATTCCACATCAACTACAAACTGAAGATTCACTTTATTAAATCTCAAGCAGCAAAAAGAAGCTCTAAAAACACAGATGTTTTCTTATCAAGAATGCAAGCCCAGGCCATCTCCTTGAAAAGAAACTATTCATTTATCATGCACTTTTACTGTCCTTCAAAGTGCATCACACTGGGCTATTTGCCAGTAATCAAACCTTCCCAAAGAAAGGCTGCCCTTCATAAAAGCAAAGATGAGAGATTTTATCTGAAATTTCAGAAATTCATCCCATTAATAAGCACTTTCTTTTCCAATTTGTGATCCTGGCCAACTCTTCATTTCTTAGGTAATAAAGCATCACTGTTAAAATAGCTAAAATACATTGCAACTTTTCTTCTGGGTACTTTTTAAAAAGATGAAGCAACATGCATATAAAGAATACCATTAACACTAATGCTGCACAAAAAGGAAAAATAAATTAGGAAATGATTGGATGAGCATTCTGAGTGCTAAGATGCTTTTTGCTTTATCAACACCAGAAGAAAAAAAAAACAAACAAACAAAAAAAAACCAACAAAAAATCCACACCTGTCTGGGGACAGACAGGGTCTTCACAGACTTGTACTTGGCACATGTTGCAGTCTTTGCTGTGTAAATATCACATGAGGTGCTCTGGGAAGAAATTACTGAACTGGGAAAGTCCTCTGAATTTTCCAGTAACATTTCCAGCATTGTGCTGTACTTTAATCCCTAAAACCTGTGCAAACAAGCAGGAAGAAATGAGAGAAGTCCCTTTCCTCCTCTACCAGGGTTCCCTAAAGCTTGGAAACCCACCAAAAGCAGTGAATAATAAATATATAGTGCTCAGGCAGCCAAAAATAATGTACTTAAAAATAATTCACAGTGTTCACCAAGCCCCTTGACAGACAATTCAGACACTCCCCCTGCCTGCAGCCACCTTCTGTTCCTTCCTGCTTCATCTATGAGCACCCAGCAAATGCAAGAGGAGTCAGACAGCCCAAGGTAACTGCCAAGCAATGGTCAGTAAAACATACATGAATTTAATTAAGGATTTCTAGAATATAAGCAAATAAACAGCATTGTTTACAGTTTGTTACAATATAAAGCACAATAATACCTTAATTAGAGATAACAACTTTTCAAAATGCCAAAAACATTTTGAATTTTTCAAATTACCCACAAAATGAACACATTTTATTTTTGCACTGTGACACTTCCAACTGTTCTGCCAAATGTATACTTCTGTAATTATGCTTTGCAATCACCAGCATCACCGGAGAGGGGGACAAAGAACAATATAATCAGGAACTAATTAATCTTTCACATGTCGTGGTACCATTTATCTCCAAGGGAAGAATCCTAAATGTTATTTTACAAATTGTGAAGTGAGTTTCATATTAGCATCTCAGAGTGCCTCGAATCATGTCCTTATGCGAAAGCATAATTCACAGTTAGTGGTGGAAGTTTAGAAACCAGAATTTAATACCTGGCTTTTTTAAGGGACAGCCTTCAATGGCAGAGCAGTGAAACGTGCACAAAAAATATAATTGCAAACAGCTTTGGGATTAAAAGCAAATATTCAATTTTATATTTAAGAAATCATCAAAGGGAATCATAGATACCTCAGAGACAAAATCATTTCCTGAGCTCCATTAAGCTTCATTATGTTCAAGAATTCATGAAAAAATACATAGTTAGTAGTAGTTAGCAAGTTGTTGCAGCCTATTTTTAAGTGAACTTGCAATAGAAATAAAGTGCATTTTTAAAATATTCTCTTCTAAGGGAAAGTTCCAGAGAAGAAAGCAATGCACAAACTGATGGACAGAAAAGCTGACCAAAAGATAAACCACCTTTCATAGTTCTACAGCTCACTACATTCCCTAAACTTTGTAAAACATCACACAAATTGCTAAAATATAAAATATTTGGGTTGGGTCATGAAAGGTACAAATATCAGAGAACAATTCTGCATAATTAATTTTTAAAGCTGAACAGGATATATGTAGGAAAAAAGCCATTATAAAACAAACCAACGCCCCTAGTTTTTATCCCTTTTTACACTCTTTGAAATCATCATCAGGGACATGTGTTTCCAAGCCTCAAAGAACATTTGAACATACAGACACACAAGAGCAGAACACAGCTCCAACACTTGGGAGCCAAACTGGGTTCCCCCAGCTGTAAAATGTCAGGCATGTTTCCATACCTGTTGTTTTACCCCTTCTCCTCATGATCATGCTCTGCCTGGCCTTCCCACTCTCTTTTCCTAACCTAGCTATTTGGTAAATGGGATTAAGGAAGGAAAAAAACCCTTTTTTTCCTACATCACTTTTCAAGTGGATCAATTCCCTCCACTGCATGGCCAAGCAGATTTTACCATAGGATGGATGCAGTGAATTGTGCAGGGCAGGGAAAAACAAGCCAGACCAGAGAGCATCACTGGCTGTGAGCACAAAGCCTGGGGGAAGCCACTGCTGTTTCAGACCCAGTGGCTGCTGGTCTGTCACCTCTGTCCCTGGCAATGTTTCTTCCCACATCATCACAGACTTTTTGCCTCTCAGGTTGTTCTGTTGCTCAACATAATCAGCCCATAAGGAGGCTGAGATTGCACTGAGTGGGCTGAGCTGCTCTAACTTGCTGGCTGCCATCAGAAGGGACAGCTTTGTCATTCTTCTTCACACCTTGCTGATTCAGCTGACTAACACAGGCCAAAAAAAAAAGTTAATATTCTCCATTTTTTATTGAAGAGTTGGATACAGAAATCCTAGGATGGGGAACTGAGGCTGGGAGCAGAGAAGAGGAGCATGCACACTCCTAGGTCAGTTCTAGCTGATCTAACAGCAGAGATGCACAGAAAGTGGGGCAGCCTTCCCAATCTCATCATCCTCTGCAGTCAGTTCCCCATTTCTCTGAGCAGGGATCAGTCTCCAGTGAGCAGTTCTGGCCACTTGGCCAAGCAGCCCAGGTGGGACAGAGTAACAGTGTGGACCTGGTAACCATGGGTGGGCTTGGCCAGTTTTGGAAGACTGACAAGGAGATTCATCACCCAAACCAAATGTGGAGCTGCACCCTTTGATACTTGCATGAAATGTCCCTTTCTCTGGCTGTGTTAGGCTAAACAGTCCCAGCAATCCCACTGAGCTTTTCCAGCTGCCCCTTCCATGTCAGCTGAGCGGTGACCGGGACTGAGGTCACATTACCCAAATGGAAAATACGCCAACAAAAGGTTTTACTACGAGTCAACTTCTCAATGTAGCTCTTGGTAGAGTCACACTCACTTTGGCACAAAGAAAGGGGTAAAAATCCATTGCCAGGGACTCCTCACACAACACAGCTGCTGGGAAAGGGTCTCAAGACCAACATGTGGAGGAGGCAAAGGTTTCACCCCCAGTTCACATCATTTGGCATGATGCATGTGCCCACCAGTCTGTACACTGTCTCCCATGGTGTCAAAAAGAAATTAACTATTCCCTTGCCTTTAGTGAGAAACTAACATTTTAATATAAAAATTCATTTAGTCCAGACCATTCATTAAAAACAGTACAACTTATTCCTCAACCTGCTTTCATACCAGCTCTAAAAGCCCTTTTGGAGAGAATAGCAAGAATATGCAATTTGTCATTTGTGACCTGAAGTAAAATGACAGACCCAAACGATTACAAGTCCTTTCACTAGAATTCACACTATTTTTGTTCATATTCATTTAATGTTTGGGGGTCTCCTGCAATTTTTGTTTTGTTTTCATCTGACTTTTTACTTTCTTTCAAGGATCAGATACAAGCTGTTAAATCAATCTACATGAGGCAAGCCTGTAGAGAAAGACTCCTGAGAGCACTATGTGGTCATCTTGCCCTTTTGAAATTGTTGTTTTACACAAACCCACAATCTTTTATAGTGTTTGAGTAGAATGATGTAAAATGCTAAGATGAAAGCCAACTCAACTCTAGAATAGGTCACAGACTAGTTTCTTTTATTTTTCTAGATCTGTTTCCACCCAAAAACTGGCATTTGTGCACATTCAATATTATCTCAACAGCAACTACAACTCAATTAAAAATACCCAGAATGACCAAGAGAAAATATCAGTATTCCACAAAATTAACACAGTTAACATTAGAAATTGAAATGTCCAACCTTCAAATATGCGATCCAGACGTTGCCGCTTCACTTTGTGTTTGTCCATGAGAGACACAAAAGTGGAAGCTCAAAGAACGTCCCCACACAGCTTGGTGATGCTCTTCTCACACCAGGCAGAAATGCTCAGTCTTTTCTAAGCTGTGAACAGAAAGATAAACTTTAAAATACATCATTTTTAGCACCTTTGTCCGGATGATCTGGAGATGATCCGTATGTAATCTAAAGAATTTTAAAAACTTCACAAAGTTCTTAAATCTTATTAGGTAAATTGGTATTTGTTTCACAGCAAACTGTCCTCTAAGCACTGAGATACAAAGCACAGGGCACAACTCGGACCAACCAGTGTGGAAATGTTCCAGGACAGCTGCTGTTCTTTGCCTTTTCGCTTCAAATACTTTTCTGCCCTTCCAATGAACAAACCACCAGCAAATGCAGGCACCTTGGGCAGGCACAAGTCCATATTCCTATAAATTGACAGCAACATGATCACCTGAGATGAAATTGGAAAGCCACAACTTTGCATCACAAAGCTCACAGTGAGAGAAAATACTTCTTTCACTCTTAACTTCTGGGCTCTTGATGATAATGAAATCCAGAGTTTCAGCTTGGAAGTTGAAGGAAACCAAGTCAAGGGGCAGAGACACAGGGAAACACATCCTGGTGACAAGAGGGAATGCCAACATCTCTATCAACCAAATGGCATTTGGAGCAGGTTTATGCATGACTAGGCAAAGCTCTTTGGCAGCAGATCCAGGCAGGCACTTTTCAGATTCTGTGGAGCTGGGCAAGGCAGCAGAAGGGCACTGCAACAAGCAGGCTGCATTTTAAGCCAAACCACTGAGAAATGGGAAGGGGGGATGGGGAGAGAAGAGGAAAAATCCCTCAATGAGAACCTAATTATAGCAGTAGAATATAAAATGCAGGTGGAGCAAGTGGATGTGGTAAAACCATGGATACAGATGCTCTAAAAAGCATCATCAGAGCACCACTTTTATTCACTTTTCAATATCTGAGTAGACTTTGAGAAACAAACACAGAGCACACTGTAGTACAAGCACTGTGCACACTAAAATGAGCCAAATACTCCACCTCCCTGTTTCTTTTTATTCCTGCCCAGCAGCTTTCAACATCAGTGGATAGGATTAAATGGCCTTACAAATGACTGAACCTAGAAATCTGCTTGTTACTTTCTAGAGGCTGAACTGCACTAAAACCAAACATAGGCACATTTCATTAACATATCATCAAGATTCATGAACTGCAAATGAAATTATAAAGAAAAATATTTTGAGTATCAAGAACTGCACATTTGTATTTGTACTAAGTATCTTTACCAGTACTGCCCTACTCAGTGCATTTGGACTTTTAATAAAGTTCCTTCTTTGTGTTTTTTTTTTTTTTAATTTAAAATGGAGTTAGTGTGCAACATTCATCATGCTTTTAATGCTTAATTCACCTTATTGTCCTCTTCACTTTCCCCCCACACCTGTTTATCCTCAAATTCAAGATTCATCTGCTGTTTTGCATAGATCCCAGTTGAATATAACATCCCATCATGAAAGGGAGAAGAAAAATTGATGAGGAATGCAGAATGCCATTTTTTTACTTTTTAAAAAACAAAGACTGTTGCCATTTTAGAAATTCACTTTTACATTTCTCAACATTGGCATTCTTCCAAAATACAATGCTCTTTAATATTGAATGTGGTTGTGTTATAAGACTGCACAAGCATTACATCAAATCTAACATGGATTTTATAATCTTATAAGCCAACTATGTAACTATAGAACTATATAACCACCAGCCTTGGCTTAAGCCAACACCCCAAACCTGTGCACAGGATCAGCCTTCAACTAGTCTTTAATTTATTTGCTTATCATTTCTGTTTTATAATCTACTTCCTTCAATTGGAAGGATCATAGCATAAAAAGATCATAACATAGGCATAGAAACATAGAAAGATCTAAAGCATAAAAACCAAACCAGAATATAATCAACATTTTAAACACTAATCTTAGTTTAAATTTGTATAGCTTATTTAATTTCCCATCTTGTAGAAACATCCAGGCCTGCTGGCCTCCTTGTGCTGTGTTGTTTATTCATTCAGCAAAAGATTTTCCCACTGTAGTCACTCTGCATACAAAGCTGGATGGCAGCTGTGAAGAACAGACCATCTGTAACTATTGACCTACCACTGAAAGTGTCACCAGATGTTTTCTATCTGTCTACAGTAGCTTCAAAGTGTGCCATATAAATCAAGTAATTTTTTTTTGCTTTCAAGCATTGTTTTAACATTATTTCATTGATAGTAAGTTGTCATAAGTTTAAAAAATATTTGAGCAAAAAATAAATTAACATGTTAGCACCATTCTAAGTTGAACCCTCACACAGTTTTATTACACATCATGTTCCAACAGAAGGGGCAGATGATGATATGGGAAGTGCTTCCCAGCAAAACAAAAGCCTTGTAATTGTGGAAGTGTTAGTTACTGCAATTGCTAAACCACAACATGAATAATTGTAGTTGAGAAATTCACTAAAAATACGCACACGGTGCTGGATGATCTAAATACCTGAACACCAAATAGTATTTAAGACCAAACTTCAGTAGTTCAATATTTTAAGTGAGAATCCAAGTGATTTAAGAACATGTAGTGCTTATTATATATGTCAAGTAGTATCTACAAAGCCATCTGAGATACCATCAATGCACAGAGCCCTTTTGAGCAGTACACATTTTAGATCAAAATACACACTGTTGCAAACAATATTAGAGTTTTTCCTTCAGTTAATCAGATTATTTCAGTGTATTTTTAAAGAGAGTAAGTCTTGGGGTATTGCTGGAGCATTTAGCTCTTAGGAAAGGGAAAGCTTTATTTTGAGACTTCAAGATAAAAGAAAAAGTGATTCTCCAACATATTTCCAGCAGAGAGAGCAAATCCTACAGGCTAAAACAGAAAAGATAAACAAGTAAGTCAACTTTGAATTCACTTTTCAAAACAGATAATACAGGTAATGAATGAGGGATAAACATTAGCTGTGAGCGAGAAGATTTGAAGGAAGGCCCATTCAAAAACCATGATTTCTCCAGACAAAAAGGATAAAAAGGAAGCAAACTAAGAAATTAATTTTTTTAAGAGAGCAAACAGTAGGCTAATTATACACACCCTGTGTATGTGTGGGTTGTGACAAACTCCACAAGGAGGACTCCCCTCAAACCCAAAATGTTGCATCATGCAGTGTTGGACCATTTCCTTTGCATCAGTCTAATGGGGGAGGTTGGCATGGGCCAGTTTCAGCTAGATCTGAACAGAAAAAGTGCATCACCTCTGATGAGTTACCTCACTCTGAAAGGGATCCAGTGTCACTGTCATATTTTCTGAAAAATCCTCTTGCCCAGGATTCTTCTCCTGGGAAGCTGAGATGCCTCAGAGGAAAAGGAAAAACAAGAATTATCTGATTGCTTCTCCTGGGTTTTGCTGCTTTGGAATGCGGTTGGAGATTGGTCATTAAGTAAAAACAATTCACATGAAACCAATCAAACAAGCACCTGTTGGATAAACAATCACAGTTCAGCTGTGTCAGGACTCTGGCGAGGGTCACAAGTTTTCCTTTTCATTCTTTGTAACCTTCTGTCTGTGTCCTTTCTCTATTCTTTAGTATAGTTTTAGTACAGCATTCTTTAATATAATATAAGCACATAAAATAATAAATTAGCCTTCTGAGAACATGGAGTCTGATTCTCAATTCCTCCTTCAACCTGGGGACCCAACAAATACCATAATCCAGAGAATAAACTCTCCTGAGCACAGATTTCCATCCACAGGCTACAAACTGCAGAAGGCTGATTTCTACCTTTGCCCCACTGTTAGTTGCAGGCATAGATTTGTAGGCCACCCCAAATCACAAGATGAAGCCTAAGAAATCCAGAACAGAAATTAAATTCACAGAATTGAGTGCCAGGTTATTAGAGGATAAGGCCATGAAGATCTGTGTCACCCTTGGGAATCTCAGCCTCCACTTAACTCAGCCATTCTAGCTTAAACTCCTTCGTCTGAAGCTACAGTGAAATATTCAGATATTTTTTCTTTCTACTAAAAACTATCAAAAAGTATGATGTTAGGCTATCAAAAGAAACATTCTAAGTTTACTTTCCAAATTCCAGTGCCATCAGTTCTGATGATCAAAAATCAGATAAATTTCCAAGGCAAGCCTGACTAATGTTTTACTTCTCTTTCCTTCCCACCCAAACTGACAACATCTCTATTTTCCATTACACCTCACAAGCCTTGAAGTAACATTCTGAAAGCCCTGGAAGCAATAAATAAATATAATCATAGTGTTTTTCCTCATGTTAGAAACTATTTAATTTTCCTAAATAATTATACATTTTGTTTTGCAGTAACTGTTTATTTCAATTAGTAAGCAGATCATTTAGTCCAACCCTCCTGTCATGGGCAGAGACAATTTCCACTAGAGCAGGTCACTCAAACCCCATCCAGCATGGCCTTGAACACTTCCAATGAGGAAGTCTCCACACTTCTCTAGGCAATTGTTCCAGTGTCTCATCACCTTCACTATAAAAAAATCTTTATATTCAAGTCAACCATACCTCAACATTATTACTAAGAAATGGAAATGTATCTCAATTTCAAAATATTTCTGTGGTACAAAACAAAGTATTTTACATTTGGCAAAAAAAAAAAAAAGAGGATCTAACTGTGTTGATGAAGAGACAAAAGTAAAATGACATAAAAATGCTAAGAGAATTTTCTTTTATTTGAACATTAACTTAAAGATGTATTGACTCAGTAAAGAAGTCAACTTTCTGAGGCTATGGGCTCTAATTCTGTGAAAAAGGAAAAATAAAGTTTATGATGTAAGAAAGAAACACTCTACTTTAAAAAGCTCTACAATTTGTAGCTGAACCCTTCTAATGTCAGTAGCAGCAATATCAGTTCTGTATAAAACAGAAATTTTTGACCAGAGGATTGGTGTTTCATAATGAAAGTTAGGTAATGCTTTAGTCTCAAAATTATACAGTGTACTACACCTAAACATGGAATATAACAAAGAGAAATATCTGAACTTTTTTTTTTCTTTCTATATTCCATTTATAAAAGTATTATTTAGCAGTA